TGCAAAAGGGAGGAATCAATCTTCACCTACGTCCTTCCAGCGCCTGTTGTCTAACGCTGTTGTCTAATGTCTCTTATAAGCGCAATAAGGTTACTGACTAACGACTTTAATCATGAAACTATCTAATGTCCAATGTCCATTTAATCAACATTCAATTGGCCATGTCTACGTATGTCCATTGTCCACATACCACACAATGTGCGAAAGATGCTTTGTGCTTAAATTTGATGTTCAATACTGTATCAGACTATCTACGCGCTACCACCCATCGTCCAGTATCTGTCGATGCAGACGGAGTAATGAAGACACTGCTCTATGACACATGCGGAACTTTATATACTGTGGGGGGTGTAGCTACAACCCCAACTTTTAAAAGTACAACCCCAATGGCAAAACTACAACCCCAACATTGGAAAATTAAGAATCAGCCTAAAACACATGAAAATGAACAAAATATGTATCATACAGAAGCAGATAATTGAGATATATCAAGAAAGTGAAGATCTCAATAAATTAGGACATCTTTTTGAATTCCAGATGCTAAAAACATTGAAAGTGCTCTGTTAAGAACATATTATTCCGCTGAGACTGAGACCGTGAGCATGATATGAAAGTTAATCACTTCACACTTCTTAAGCATACTGAGTGAATCATATTGAAAGTGTTCCAAAAAATTTTAACATGTAACATGAAAGTGTGAAGCAAAAAATCATAACATTCATCATACTTTTGCAGTGGCGGATCCAGCTCAGTTTTTTTTGGGGGGGGGGGGGAGAAACCATAACAACTTATCGATTCTTTCCATGCCTCGTCCATAGGCATAATGTTTAAATTATGCCGTTTGGGAGGGGCAAATGCCCATTTTGCCCCCCCCCCCCCCGGATCCGCCACTGTACTTTTGGGTTTTCTCACTAAACATTTCATACCTGTGGGCTGTGCTTATCAAATAGATAAGCATATATGAAAAGCTTGACAGACAACAGTAAGCTTCAGAAATAAATTAACCTAACCTAAGCCTTCACCCTATGTAGCATTCTATCACCATAATCTGACCATAATATTGCGTGTCAACGACCACAGAACCACAGAACTAAAGTGAAATATCACTCTGTTCGCAATTTTGTCAGTTGGCACAATACCACCAATCAGCACGAATATTTGGCTAAAATGACGACACTGTCAAGTTAGATGTCAGTGAATCCTAATCTATAATCTAAGATTCGGAATCAGGCGAGCCCCTACGATTTGGACCAAACTTGGTCAGTGGATAGTACGTAACGTCCTGATTACGATGCACCCAAAATCTAAGCTCGGCCCGCCATATTTACGAAGTTACGGATGTTTCAATTTCAAGGTCATTCGGGAGAGCCCCTACGATTTCCGGCAAAATTTGTGTACGAACACTCTAGGTGCTCTTCATTACGAATATCACAAAATTTAAGCTCGGCCCGCCATATTTACGAAGTTACGGATGTTTCAATTTCAAGGTCATTCGGGAGAGCCCCTACGATTTCCGTCAAAATTTGTGTACGGACACTCTAGATGCTCCTCATTACGAATATCACAAAATTTAAGCTCGGCCCGCCATATTTTTCAAGTTACGGAGTCACAAAGTTACGGAATTTCAAGGTCATTGGGCGAGCCCCTCCGATTTTCGTCAAAATTTGCATACGGACACATTACATGCTCCTCATTACGAATATCGTAAAAGCTAAGCTCGGCCCGCACTATTTCAAAAGTTACTGAGGCTTGAAACTCACTGAAATTCAAACATCTGTAACTTTTGAAATAGTGTGGGCCGAGCTTAGCTTTTACGATATTCGTAATGAGGAGCATGTTATGTGTCCGTATACAAATTTTGACGAAAATCGGAGGGGCTCGCCCAATGACCTTGAAATTCCGTAACTTTGTGACTCCGTAACTTGAAAAATATGGCGGGCCGAGCTTAAATTTTGTGATATTCGTAATGAGGAGCATCTAGAGTGTCCGTACACAAATTTTGACGGAAATCGTAGGGGCTCTCCCGAATGACCTTGAAATTGAAACATCCGTAACTTCGTAAATATGGCGGGCCGAGCTTAAATTTTGTGATATTCGTAATGAGGAGCACCTAGAGCAGGGGGATGTCACTACTTTGCTTCGCCATAGGTCCAGTACTGATGTCGTCGGTTTCGATCCCGGTGACGTCAGTGCTGTCTACATCCGGGAACTTATTGCACTTGGTTCTCATTAGAGGTGGCCATATTGTTTTGTCTCGTGACGACACATTTGCGTCATCGGGATCGAAACTGGCTGTAAACAAATCGCTCAGTGTCGCTACCTACTATATATGGCCTTGACCTAGAGTGTCCGTACACAAATTTTGCCGGAAATCGTAGGGGCTCTCCCGAATGACTTTGAAATTGAAACATCCGTAACTTCGTAAATATGGCGGGCCGAGCTTAGATTTTGGGTGCATCGTAATCAGGACGTTACGTACTATCCACTGACCAAATTTGGTCCAAATCGTAGGGGCTCGCCTGATTCCGAATCTTAGATTATAGATTAGGATTCACTTACATCTAACTTGACGACCATGACGCATCTGATACAAATGCAAGGTTTTGGCGACGTCTGTCAATTCAGCAGCAACGAATATCAGCCTCACAGCAGCATATTTCGGTGTCTTTCGATTTGGCTGAAAATCGGTATCCAGGGCCTCCTCGATGCGCTGATTCCGAAAATATGCCTCTTTGGGGTGGTATTTTGCACCGTTAACGAGTTAACGACTAATTAACATTTTAACGGGAAACGGCGGGTTCTTTCGATTTAGTTGAAAATTGGTATACAGGGCCTGTTTGATGCGCTGATTCCGAAAATGTACTTCTTTGAGGTGGTATTTTGCACCGTTAACGAGTTAACGAACAATTAACATTTTAACGGGAAACGGCGGGGGTCTTTCGATTTGGCTGAAAATCTGTATACAGGGCCTCCTCGATGCGCTGATTCCGAAAATGTACCTCTTTGGGGTGGTATTTTGCACCGTTACCGAGTTAACGACCAATTAACATTTTAATGGGAAACGGCGGGGTCTTTCGATTTAGCCGAAAATCGGTATACAGGGCCTCCTCGATGCGCTGATTCCGAAAATATGCCTCTTTGGGGTGGTATTTTGCACCGTTAACAAGTAAACGGCCAATCAACATTTTAACGGGAAACGACGGGTCTTTCGATTTGGCTGAAAATCGGTGTACAGGGCCTCCTCGATGCGCTTATTCCAAAAATGTACCTCTTTGGGGTGGTATTTTGCAACGTTAACGAATTAACAGCCAATTTACATTTTAACGGTAAACGGCGGGGTCTTTCGATTTAGCTGAAAATCGGTGTACGTTCAGTGTCTCAGGGGCAGACAGACAAGCCGTGATGTGTTCCTAGCCATCGTGGCTGTGAAGAGTATGAGTTTTGTTTACGATTCGCCAAACAATGCATAATACCTACATTTGCTCGTTGAAAAAAGAAGATCATCTGAAGTATTCGGTGATATGAAAAGGCTGTGGCATTTATTATTTAATTTCCTCAGATTGAGATTATTTAGATCCAGTTTTAGGTTCCTTTGCGGCATTGTGTTCGGTATGTTGTCCTCGTTTGCAAAATATCTCATGTCTGATCAGTCACTATTCCGGTTTCTACTACCCGTTTCCGTAATAGACGTATTCCAGACGACCGTGGCATTAATATACAAAGATGGACTCGTTTTAAGTTTTTTAGTCTAAAAATAACGTATTCCTGTTTAGGTCTTCTTTGTCAATTGCCACGAGTGGCTCAAATTGTTACTCGTAGGGAAAGAGCCTTGCTCCAATACTGAGTAATGTTTGTGTCAAATGTGGAAAGAAACAAGTATTCATAGGGACTGTGATTTTGGGCGTTTACCTACCGTTTCCAAATCGCCACGACCAGTGGCGGCGGAACACCCTCAATTAAAGGGGGCACTGCCGACTTTTGGTCCCATTCTTTCCATGCAACGCCCATAGGTAGGGCTAATGTTAAAATGCCAAAATCAAAGGGGGCGAGGTGCCCCGGTGCCCTCCCCGTTCCGCCGCCTATGGCCACGACCATGGTGGCGATACCCGAGTACCTACAACCAGGCACATAGCCAATGGAGGGACGACAGGGTCAGCCGTCTCTCCCTGAAGATGGACCACTTTTTTGTAAATGAAAATGTGGGCCCCTCCCGAAAAATAGTGGGCCGAATCCGGGGACTTTTCGGGTTTTGGTGGGGGTATACCCTGGACTCCGGCAAACTACAACCCCAATGAAAAACAAAAAGTTCCACCTCTGCTCTATGAAGTTATCTCTACCGATTGGAGAATGCTCGGTCCAGTATCTAAGTCTACCTACAAATGTCACCGATTTTCCAGCGTCTACCGACTAACGAACTGAAAAGCAAATACGGAGTGTAACGATCTTCGGATTATGGGTGTATCCGCTGTCGTTAATCCAAAACTTCAGCTATGCACATTGCACGCTCCTCTAGGTCGATTCTAGAAACGTGGTAGGCGCTTGACATTTTTAACGAATGAATTGGAGCAAATTAGAATCTGCACGGTACCAGCACGATGCGCAGATTGTGTGTCTCAACGGTGTCCAGAGCCATACTGTTTTATATATTTAAGAAAAAATGTTTATGATCTTTGAATGGTCTCCATAACTTGTTATGATCAGGGTTTCGAAGTTGAAGAAACAAAGGGCGAAGCAGACGCACCCCATGATTGTTTTGAAATGTTTGTTTTGTCATGCACGTGACAGCCCATGGCGAGTGTCAGGAGTGCTTACACAATCGAACGCCGATGATGTTCCGTTTAATTGGCGTGGGAGCGACCCTTCAGAACCACAGAGAAGCCGCTCCCATTGGGCAGGTCGCAGCTGGGCATATGGACATATAGCAGCGCTAAAATATTGATAAAGAAAAGGAAAACTTTCTGATTAATGTAAGTAAATGCCTACAAGTGATTTGAGCTTACCGAGAAAGTGTCCAGGTGAGATACCTCTTGTCTGGCTGGTGCAGGGCAGAGGTTGAGGTGGGAGAATCTGCTGATGATCTAGCACGGCTCACCAGCACGTCTCGACACCGGTCAGTATCAGCGGCGGGTCGCTGCCTCCAGCTCACCGTGGCTGCAGCGTCAGTGACACCGTCCGATCCTGCAGCTGGCCTCGGTGGGGGTGTCACTGACACACACAGACTAAACTCCGTGAAATGCCGTTATATAGACCTATCCTCCACCACTCGCGCACACTCCAGTTATACCAATGACAGTACAGGGATGAGCACTGAGCCGCCACTGTCACACTCCGTAACCGATAATCCTGACCCGACACCTACCCAGCGTTCTCCGCCCGGCCGCGACGCGCAGACTGAGGTCCGCGGCGCCCTCGCCGCCCACCGCCCCCGCCCCCGCCCGAGTGACGTCAGAAAGGCTGAGGAACGTGCGCCTCGCACGCTGGACGGGGGTCGGGAGGAGGGGGCTAACGCACACCCCTCTGCAGTAGGACGGCGTCACGGCTCCGAAAACAGACCGGGACTGAGTTACGGTGGATCTGTCAGAGCTGGTCTTTTGTCACTGAGCGCCTGTGGTGGACGCAGCAGCCTGCAGCGGTCACCACACGTGGCCATTGGTCATGAGTTGGCTCGAACAGCGGGGCGCTGTATGAGGAATGGGCGAGTGATCAATGCCCGCGATTGTTGCGCAGCATGTGCATGCAACAGCTGGTCTGAATAATGCAGCGCCTTTGCGGATCAATACCAGAACGTGCATATGCTCAGTAGATCGTGGGTGTTCGTAGCTCGAACAGTGTGTTTGTGTTTCATCGGTGTATCATTAACATGCATTAGGTAGATGTTAGCTAATGTGCTTACGTAATAGATATAGTCGAAGCCACACACCAAAACCCATCAAAATTCGACAATTAGCGTATTTGCTTAGAGAAGCGGTGTTTGAGCCTCTCCACTTACTAAGATAAACATTGAAATAAATTACCTTTTTATATAAAATTCCTAATAATTGACAAACTCTGCATGTGATAGGTAGTAGGTACTTACTTATGTGTTCAGCCATCAGTTCACATGGGCATCTAGAGAAACGGCCGGATGTTGGAAAGCCCCGCCACTGCAATGCAGCTGCACCTGGTTTACAGCGCTCAACTCCCGCCAGTGTCAGACGCTATCTAACGAATCAGTCACACTATCAAACGCTCGAACTTAATTGAAACTACTATCTGCACTCTGAGCTGGCTGAATCCCGGAGCTCACTCCACCCGTGCGCTCTGCCGACACATTCCTTCCGTTTTCCTCTCTCTGCCCGGCTGAGGCGGATGTTCCGGCGTGTCTCGGCAGACTCGGCGGCGGCTGTCTGTTGTTGCAGAGACCATCCGGCGGGTGGGGGGGGGGGGGGGGGGCTGTGGTTGTGGTCTTCGGTCGGCGGTTGATAGTATGGACTGTCTGTGGGCCTGCGGCACAGCACGGCGGTACGTATACGGCACAGACGGCACAGCCCGACGGTCGGCGCTATCACAAGCCGGCCGGTCGCCGGACGCCCGCACGGGGACGAGCCCGGCGGCCGGCCTCTGCCTCGATTAGGCCGCTGCCGGCTGCCACTGAGCGCTGGAGTGTCGTGCCGACGGCAGCGGCTGTGTGTCTCCAGCGGGATATTGGCCAGGCGAGGAATACGGGTGACGCAATGGGCAGCCTGCAGGCGCGGTGTCGTCAGGAGCGAGCCTATGTGACGGGCTCCGCCCGCGCCGCGCCGTGGACGGGCTGAAACTGACCAATGAGACGTGAACGAGCTGGTCCATGAAGGCGGCCGTCAATAGTTTATAAGAGTGCGGAGGAAGGCAAGTGCAATTCAGGAAATAGCTTCAAGGGTGCCTAAGCTGATAAAAATATTTATAACAGAATGTTTGATGAGGGATAATGAATAACACCGAACACGACCAAAGAATATCGAAATTTACTAAAATCTCAAAACACAACTGACCACGACATTCATAGACAAATTGTAGTTTTCACGAACACCGCATTCAGGTGTTAACTGATCTAATATGAATGCTCTGTGTGATGGCCTTTCATCTCATACCTATCAAAACAATTTTGGAAACTCTGCTCTAGCATTAGACGCCGTTCATCGATAGCCGATGGGCCTTTCAATTATAGGCTGTCAAGTCGTTAAAGCTTAGGGCATCGATTTTTTTAAATACATAAGCTACTGACAGAACAAAATAAGTCCAATACAAACATGCATTTTAGTCAGAGAAAGATCACCAATCGCATGGTCATTGGTCAACCTGATTGATTGCAACTGTCGCAGTAGATTCATCGGACAACGCCATATTGCGTGCTAAAAAGGCACACTGACGAATGTGGCAGCGTCCTGTCAATAGTCAATACCGCATCCATCGAACAATAGTGCCGGTCTGGAAATACGATCCTTGTCCACCAGCCTTCATTGTATCACTAGGTCAATTTCCTGTGTCCACACGGTCCACACCGCGTCGTCAAGTCGTATAGGCCTTGTGGCGGACAGCTCTGTGGACATTGGACACTGTGGAGTGAGGAGTGGAGGTGTGTTAGGTTGACTTTCAATCTCGATAATTTTAACATTTATGGTCGCATTGCCACTAACTACCTATTTACGTGCATTGTACGTACGTATACCTATATAAACAGACGGGCCAAAGACAGTTATTTTTAATGAGCTGGCAACTGAGTTACAGAAGTGGTAGGTGACACCTTTATTTGACTGTACTGCATGGATTATAAGAAATATGCGTTGCATCGGTACAAAAAGGATATGGCGTTACCTAAATATTCGGATTCACTTTGGAAACTTATGAATGCTTCAAGAAGATTTGTTCTTGCAGGCATATGATTGACAGGGAATAGGTACATTGGCTGCACATTGCGGCAATTAGGTATGATTTATGAACACACTTACTTGGCCACAACTCACAGCCTTCTCTATGTAGCGTAGTCTATATTTAAATTTTATTGTGACTTGATTCAGCTCAAGCAAGCTAGACTGAAATGAATGAAGATTGTGACAGTAAACTAAAAAGGATCCTCAGAGTACGTAAAAATGTATACTGCAAATGGCTACTTATCATTATAGAGATAAGCGTTCACACAAAACAGACATTTTAAATCCTCTCAATTAATTCGCAAGGCCACAAAGTCCTCCAATGAGTTTAACCCTCGCATGTGTAGGGGGGGGGGTCGGATGGACCCCCCCCCCCCCCCATGGTTTTTCGCGAATAACTCGCGTAAAAAGCGGCCGATCGCGACGAAACTTTCAGTACCCTCGCATTGATCAATTTTACACCTACTCTGAAAATTTCATGACCCTGACCCAAATGACCTTTGACCTGTGACCTCTTTTCCGAGACCATGTTTGGCCGGAATCGCGATTTCGCGTATGTCGGCTCGCACTAGCCGCGTGTTTGCAAGCTTTTCGTGGTTTCAAACGTTCAAACATGTGATTTGATGTTACTCCCGTGTGTGTCAAGGTCACCTGAAGGTCAGGTCAGGTCATTGACCTTTGGTGACCTCGGGTGACCCCGGGTCACTTTTTCGAGTTTTACATGTTTCTAGGCTAGTTTTTGGAGCTGAATTCGAATTTAGCAACCATTTGAACATTTACGAAGTAGTTTTGGTGACTTCGTAACATGTTACGAAGCTGTCAGAGGCGGTTGACACGTACTACGAATACCCGTCACGACGGCTACTGGTTGACCTGACCTGACCTGACCCGACCTGGTCTAAATGCTTCAAGACATCATCTGTGATCAAAACTAACACGATATTCGTGATCAGCACCCCGAAAAACCCCTTAGCAGCCACACTTTACGACTTTCTAACAGGTCCCGATTTTCCCGACTTTGGGTCATTGACCTGACCTGGAAGGTCAACCAATGACCTAGGACCTTAAAATTGGGTATCATCGGCTTCCTCTCGTCACGGGCAACACGCTCGTTTTTTCCGCGAAGCTCTAGCTCGATCAGGGGCCAAACGGCAAGGGGGGGGTCCAACCGACCCCCCCCCCTACACATTAGAAGCTGGCAAACGGCGCACACATGCGAGGGTTAAGTTATTCGGGCGCAGCGCTTATTGGTGGGGGCAAAATGTCAAGCGTCAAGCTGGTGAGGCAGCCGCCCCACCAACTACATACAGGAAGCTATAGCTGCCTCTGTAGCAAAATACACCATAAATGAAGCCGTGGCGAAAGCACAGTGCTCGAAATCCAACCAATTCATCTTAAAATCCACTGGGATTCGCGTCACCAGACACTAACTCCCTGCGGCCAGCAGCGATACCTTTTTCCATACACAAACGACTGTGTCGCAACGTCGCACTGAGTGGTTGGCGGTGTATAAAAGAATGAGTGACTGACCGGCTGGCACCCGGCGACTGCAGCAGCTGGCTGTGTGCGTTATTGGATGCTGCACTGGATGGATCATTGCCTGCTGCATACCAGTCGTACGTACGAGTCGGTAACGCAATACTCACTGCGTCCGGTGCCCGTATGGCGTATACTGCAGACTTCCGGCAAGGCAGAGGTACGTACAGCTGGACTGTAGCCGAGTGCCATAGCACAGCCGCATGTGAAGTGTGTGCATACTACAAAGGACATTAAATTGATTATAGGAATGCTGAGGGATGATAGGGGAATGGAAATTGTTTGTGCTTGTTCGTACTCGTTCGTCACCCGGAGGACTATATAAAGTTATTGTTCAGGTGTACAGAGGTTTTAAGGGTCGGCTGGCCGGCCGGGCGCGCGGCTCGCCAATCTAAAGTTGACGGGTCGCGGGCCCGGCCGGCGGCCTGGGGCATCGCCCCAGCGAGGACGAGTATGTATTCCGCGGGGCGATGCGGGGCGGACAGGTTGACATGGAAGTTTGTGGTATAGTGTATAGATGTTGTGAACATGTACTGTGTCTTCACTGAAAACACGATTTACACCCCATTGACACCTTAAGTTGGGATTACACCCACTTAACACCAGATATGCACCAGAAGTACGCCAACCTGATGCCCATTATACACCGTTGTTAGTCCCTGTTTGCACCCATGAACCTTTTTAACACCGCTCATACACCGATCCGCTAAATATACCATCAACACACCAGGCGAACACCCTCGTTGAAACACCATCTGTACACCTAGGTGATGCCCAGATCGGGGTGTAATAAGGGAATAGATCGGGATAAGAACTTTCTGGAAACACCCTTTTTACACTATACGGACACCATCGTTGAAACACCATCTGTACACCATATGGCGATGCCCAGATCGGGGTGTAATAAGGGAATATATCGGGATAAGAACTTTCTGGAAACACTCCTTTTACACTATACGAACACCATC